AAAGCCCTTAATAACTTGGGACCAGTTTACCTACGAGATCGCCTTCCCACATATTTGCCTGCTTGCAGTGCGGAATTGTCACTGGTGCAGGTGACACATAATACCCCTACCACATTTGTAAGAACTCCATCATTTCGTGTGACAGCACCTACACTTTGGAACTCCCTGCCGATTGAGATCAGGCAGGTGCCTTGCTCTGTTCAGTGCCTGCTAAAAACATTCTTGGTTAGACAAGCCTTTACCCCTGATGTTTAGAAACGCTGGTGTGAATTTTAAACTATTTTAGTATTTTAACTGCTTGTATGCTTTAATGTAATTGTTTGCTGGTTTTATGGTTGATCTTTTTGTAAACTGCTTTGAGGGTTGTTGTTTTTACAATCAAATGGTGCATCATTGCATCAAGCGGGGTATTGTATTCATTTAATAAGAATTTTAAAAGGTCAGATGAGAAGGGGTTTTGGAAGAATGGCAAGCAATTTTTGTGACATTTGGCAAGGTAAGGTGGAGTGCAGTTGCAGGTTTAAATAAGGAGAGAGTTAATTTCAAATGCTGAACAAGATTCCTAGCAATGAATGCTTAACAGCTCATTCTGGGGTCATAAATGAAACTGACTGGGAAGAGTTTTGGGAGATGCATGAGAAAGTACTTTTTCAACATGGCAAAATAAAACAAAAACTCCTTTCAGTGATTGCTTAAAACCTTTTTCTTTTTTTCTGCTTTGACAAGCCTATGTAGAATGCTGGCATACGTTTTAATCTCTCTTTTTTTTGCTTACTGTTTATTTTAATCATCTTTGGAATGTTTTTAACTGTCTTTCACTGATAGTTCTAGTGTGTTTGTTTGTTTTTCTAAACCTCTTAGAGGTTTTTATTACAATCAAGCGTATGTAAATGATGCAAAATAAATAAATGAAAATAAGAAACATATTGTTATGGCCGCTGTTGTGCAGCTGGAGTGTGTGTGGATGAATCTGTCATTTTATCTCTCAGGCCCCGTGTGCAGTAGACATTTAAAGCAGTAGTATGCCACTTTAAGAATCATGCCCCTTGCAAAGCATCATGGGAACTGTAGTTTGTTAAGGCTGATTAGTGTTCTTAGGGGACCCCTATTCCTCTCACAGTTATAGTTTACAGAGTGAGTTTAGCAGTGAGTGCCTCTTTCCAGAGAATTCTGGGAATTGGGAGAATTTTGGGTCTCCTAACAACTCTTGTCACCCTTAACAAACTGCAAATCCATGATAGTTTAAAATGGTAACATGTTGCTTTAAATGTCTGGTGCAAATATGGTCTCAATTTCTCATTTTTCCCATCTTCACTTCTCCACATCTCTGCAGCAATTTATTATTTTGAAGAAGAAGAAAAACCCTTATGAAAATTCATCAGCAAATTTCTCCTAATGAACCCATTCTTGTATGCAGTTTTGAATAATATGCACATTTTTGCAAGCATTTCCCCCTGAATTAATTAACTCTGTACGTGGTTTTCACTAATATGTGCACTTTTATACACAACGTTTGGTTGAAGAACCGTTACGCAACATTCACAAAAATGCAAAATTTAAAGGATAGCAGTGTTTGACCTCACACTTTCGTTTGAAGAGTGTAAATTCGGTGGTTTCTCGTTGAAATGCACACAAAACTAAATTTCTATCCCATCACCAGCTGGGGCTGATGGAAATGGTGGTCTAAAACATCTACAGTGTACTAGGAGCCAACTTGGTGCACTGAATGTGTTTGAGTATTCTGAAATCATCTCCAAGTTGTTTCAAATATGGCAAAGAGGCCTGAAATTTCATGCATTTCCTTTACCATTCCCATATTATTTGTCTTTATAAGGTTTTCGTGTTTGAGTTGCTTCACTGGAGAAAGAAGATCTTTTGAGGGGGAAACTTAAAAGAGTTTCAGGTACCTCTTGTCAGCGCTGTAGACATGGAGAAAATGTGGCATTATGGTATGAAATTAGCATTTTCAGTGAAACATTGAAAGCAATCAAGCATAGTAGAGAACCTGGCGCAACACAAGAATGGGAGCCTCACAGTGCAATCCTTGCCATGGCTACTCATAAGTAAGTCCTAGTGGATTCAATAATAATAATAATAATAAATTTTATTTATATCCCGCCCTCCCCAGCCAAAGCCGGGCTCAGGGCGGCTAACAACAATAAAATAGTGCAACATTCTAAAAACATTTCATTATAAAAATTAATTAAAATCAAATTAATGGCAACCATTAAGCTAAAGTTCTGTGAAGATTGCCAAAGGAGAGAGTCAGGCTGCGCCCTGACCAAAGGCCTGGTGGAACAGCTCTGTCTTGCAGGCCCTGCGGAAAGATGTCAAGTCCCGTAGGGCCCTAGTCTCTTGTGACAGAGCGTTCCACCAGATTGGAGCTGCAGCCGAAAAAGCCCTGGCTCTAGTTGAGGCCAGCCTAACCTCTCTGTGGCCTGGGACCTTCAGAATGTTTTTATTTGAAGACCATAAGTTCCTCTGTGGGACATACCAGGAGAGGCGGTCCCGTAGGTACAAGGGTCCTAGGCCGTATAGGGGGTTTACTCCCAGTAAGTGAGGTTTGGATTGTCCTTTAAGCCAATCCTTTACCCACTTACCTGGGACTAAGCCTCATTAGACTCCTTGTGACTGCCTTCTGAGTACACACCAGTAGGATTGTACCGTTGATTGTTCTCCATTAAGACTATGGAGCCATTAACAAAACAAACCGCTTTGTGGAAAATCTGAACGTTGTACCAGCCATCTTCCTTGTTGCAGGTTGCATTTTAAGGGCTGTCACATGGAAGATGGAGCAAGCTCATTTCTCCAGTTCCCAACCAATGGATTCAAGTTACAAGAAATAGGGCTGCCATATGTCTGGATTTTTTTGGACATTACAGGAAAAAGACCGAAGCATAGCTGTCAACTTTTCCCTTTTCTTGCAAGGAATCCTATTCGGAATAAGGGAATGTCCCTTTAAAAAAGGGGAAAGTTGACAGCTATGGACCGAAGTGATGTCCAGGCAGGGGGAATCTCTGGAAGACAGCATTTTGTTCTGGACAATTTGGGGGTTTCCTTAAAAGCTTAACAACTTTCGGGGTGTCCTGGTTTTTACTTTTCGAAATACAGTGGTACCTCCGGTTAAGTACTTAATTGGTTCTGGAAGTCTGTACTTAACCTGGAGCGTTCTTAACCTGAAGCGGACTTTCCCATTGAAAGTAATGGAAAGTGGATTGATCCGTTCCAGACGATGAAAAAACACCCCCTAAAACAGCAATTTAACACGAATTTTACTGTTTCACGAGACCATTGATCCATAAAATGAAGGCAATGATCAATGTACTGTACTATAAAATAAATAAGACAGTATTTTAGATGAAAAAAATTAAAATTTATTTCCAAACTCACTGTTTGGAGGGGGCTCAGGGTCCTCTTCCACAATCACAATTGGCTTGGCTCCCGGCATTTGCGGAGGCCTCAGAGAGCTCCGTAGGCCCCACCGATGTGCGGGTTTGCCTCCAGGCAGCGGCGAGGCCTCCGAGAGCTTGGACAACTTACTTCCGGATTACAATCATTCATAACCCAAAAAAAGTAAGTTGAAGCTTTCGTAACCCGAGGTACCACTGTATGGCAACCCTATCAGAAAGGAGATTCCAACTCAACATCAGGAAGAACTTTCTGACGGTAAGAGCTGTTTGACAGTGGAACAGACTCCCAGAAGAGATGGTGGTTTCTCCTTCCTTGGAGGTTTCTAAGCAGAGGTCGGATGGCCATCTGTCATGGATGCTTTAGCTGAGATCCCTGCATTGCAGGGGGTTGGACTAGATGACCCTCAGAACCCCTTCCAACTCTACAATTCTATGATTCTATAAATTACCTATCCCTCTTTTTCATTAATGCTATGATTGGGACATCTTCTGATTCAGAACCATAGGGGCTCAGCCACCCTAGTTTTTGATTCACACAGTAGATCTCCTTCTACCGGTCCACAATAGAAAGTGTCCTTTCATACTGTAACACGGTGTGGTACGTTGGTTTGACATCAACTGATAGGAAGGGCCTACAGAGGGTGGTGAATACAGCACAAGTTATTATGGGCTGTCCCATGAATCCGCTGGATGAAACAGCAGAAGAACGTTGACTCAGGAGAGTGAGGAAAATTCTCAGGGATGATTCACACCCTGGCCGGCACTTTCTTAATCTCCTGCCCTCAGGCAGAAGATATAGAAACATGATTAGTCGCACCAACAGGGTAAAGAAAAGCTTCTATCCGTGGGCTGTTAGGCTGCTGAATGAAAAGATAACAACAGGGCAACTGACTTTCGGGTTTGGTGGGTGTGCGTCAGTAAACGAGGGGAATTAGGACTAAGAGAGCTGAGTGGGGGGTGCTTGTGTAATCTCACTGTATACAAGTTGTACAAGTGACAACAAAGTGTTTCAATATTTCAATACCCCTAAATCTGCTTGGATGTGGGTCTGTTGAATCTGTACTTAAATTTCATGACAAGGATATATAATCATTTTTCCATTCACACAGCTCACCTGTCACTATGCAACAAGGCCTACACATGTCTAACTCGCCTCATTGCACCCAGCCTGTCTGTTCTCATTCCAATATCTTTCCCTCAAAAGAGTTATGCAAAACCACAGTCTCGCCTATTGACAATAACCACCCGCTGTACTTCAATGTGCTTTTAAGTGGCTCAGTTAACTATAGTACACTTTCTGCAAAGCTACAGAATTGTCAGGATATGCGTTAGATGAGCTTTTACGTTTTGGGATGAGGGGGTAAGCGAAAAAGGCTTCTGAATGGGCATTTCAAAACAGCGGTAACAAAAGGATTAACATATGTATGGGTCTGTGAGTGTTCAGGTTATACATGCAGGTGTCGTTCAAATTTTCACATGCATTTAGAATGTGCTGCATCCATCAGTGAATCAAGATACGTCGCAAACCAAAATCTCTCATTTTAGCTTACTGCAGAGAAAGCTGCTGAGTTCACAGATACCCAGCGAGACTCACTTGCTGGTCAGATGGGCTTTCAGAGTGATGCCAAATTCTCCAAAGAGAGTAACAAAGACATTGGCATCGGTCCCCGCTCCTCGGACGTCTCCTGTCACCGTCACGACTTCGTAGACTGTGGATACAAATTGGAGGAAATACGTGAAACCAGCAGGAAGAATGTATCTTTACTCTCCAGGGTGGAGTGGAGCAACTGGTCAAAATGGACCCCACTGTCAAGATTTGAAACAAGATTCATTTTAGAGTAAGTACAGGATTCAGAGCAAAGATCTTTTCAATGCCTCACTTCTGAAAATATAAAAAGAGGAAGATTAGGACTGGAAGCAGAGATGAACAACTCTGTCAATTTTGTTGTGCCTCAGTTTCTCATTTTTCCAACCTCTCCATATTCCTGAAGTAGCTTACAATTTTTAAAAACAAGTCGTCATGAAAATTTGTCATGGTATGCATTTTTGTGTTTTTAAACAACAAACCACTCTGTGATCTTCAGGTGAAGGGTGGTATGTAAAGTTATGAAATAATAATAATAATAAGCATTTTAGCGTACATTTCTCCTAATATATACCATTTTGCAAGCAGTATTAACTAAAATACACATTTTTTCAAGCAATCAAAATGAATTTTGGATCATCTTTGGAGTTTACTTAAAAAGAAATGTATTAATAAAAAATCATTTAAATGCTGCAGCCCTAGGAGTAAGTTTTCTACTTATTTTAGACAGGGCTCATGAAATAGTTGACAAAACCATGTAAATTATGAGTGACTGGAAACCCTTATATAGCATATCCTGGCACCCTCCAGAAATTTCAAACTATCACTTCCATCAGCCCCAAGCAAAACACCTATACCAGCTGAGGCTGATGGGAGTTGCAGTTGAAAACCTTGGTAAGACATGAGGTTGGCAAAGGTTGCTGAATCCTATATTTGCAAATCCAAGCACTGAAACCTGGAAGAGGCACATGCAGGAATTCCATGGGCTTTGTTATTCTTGATGAGCCACTGCAAAGTCAAATGTTATTTCTGACTCATTGCGTGATGAGTGCCTTGAGTCATTTGGAGTCTTAGCTGGGAGCAAAACATCAGTCTACCTTTCGGAAGCCAGGAAAACACATATTGGTTTCTTCACAGCGCTGGCAGATATTAGTTCAGAAACTGGCAGATTCTGTGATCTAATTTCAATTTGTGCTGGGCAGGGAAGCACATTTACCAGAGAGATGCCAAATTCACCCCACAGGTATCCATTGTGATTAGCAAGCAATGCACCCTTTATATCGTGCTGATTTGATAGAAAGTGATGTACAGTGGTATCTCAGATTACAGACGCTTTAGGTTACAGATGCTTCAGGTTACAGACTCCGCTAACCCAGAAATAGTACCTTGGGTTAAGAACTTTGCTTCAGGATGAGAACAGAAATCGCATGGCAGCGGGGCGGCAGCAGCGGGAGGCTCCATTAGCTAAAGTGGTACCTCAGGTTAAGAACAGTTTCAGGTTAAGAACGGACCTCCAGAACGAATTAAGTTCTTAACCCGAGGTACCACTGTATCTCTCCACCCTCTTTGCAAACTTGTTGTAGAGGTACAACTATAGAAGAACGAGCACAGGTTCAGTTACAGAGGGGTGAATCTGTCAGTCTTGGTTTCTCTTTTTTTCCAGTCTTACATGCAGTTCTCTGGATTTGCTCATAAGTTTGTGTGTTTGTTTATTTGGTTGGTTGTTTTTTAAAGTCTTCCTGAAAATTCACCAGCATAATGTGAACTTCTGCTATACCTCAGGCACGTCCAACAGGTAGATCGTGATCTACTGGTAGATCACTGGACGTCTATTGTAGATCCCTGGCTCAACAACTGTGACCTGAATCCCCAAAAAGGGGGTAGATCACTGCCAGTTTTTAACTCTGTGAGTAGATCACAATCTCTGGGGAGTTGGCCACCCCTGATATACATCATGGGTCGGCAAACTAAGGCCTGGGGGCCAGATGTGGCCCAATCGCCTTCTCAATCCGGCCCACGGACGGTCCGGGAATCAGCGTGTTTTTACATGAGTAGAATGTGCCCTTTTATTTAAAATGCACCTCTGGGTTATTTGTGGGGCATAGGAATTTGTTCATTTTTTCCCTTCAAAATATAGTCTGGCCCACCACAAGGTCTGAGGGACGGTGGACCAGCCCCCTGCAGAAAAAGTTTGCTGACCCCTGATATGCATTTTTCTACACAATTCTTATTTATACAAAACAAGTTTCCCTAGAATAATTCATTTCTCTCTCTCTCTCTCTCTCTCTCTCTCTCTCTGTGTGTGTGTGTGTGTGTGTGTAGTGTACATTACTTTTCTGGAGAAGTTAGGCGAAGTGAAAATGTTGAGGGTTGGGGGTATGTGATGAAGGTTCTGGAAACCAAGCCTTGTGAGGAACAGTTGAGGGAACTGGGTATGTTTGGCCTGGAAAAGAGAACACTGAGTGGAGATATGATAGCCATCTTCAAATATCTCAAGGGCTGCCACAAGCTTGTTTTTCTCCTGCTCTGGGGGGTAGGACCCGAACCAATGGCTTCAAGTTACAAGAAAGGAAATTCTGACTCAACATCAGGAAGAATTTACTGATGGTTAGAGCTAACCAATAAATTCCCCATCCCTGTTTTTCATTGATGCTGAAGTATTTTTCAGCCTTAGGTTTATTTTTACAATGCACATAGCAGATCTTCAGCAGTCAAATACTCAGTGATCTATCCTGTTAGGCAAAGATCATAAGATGACCTGGATGTTCGCCAAATTCTGTGTACAGATCTGTAGGAGCAGACCATCCCCCAACCCAAACTAGTTTGCTAAGAAAATCCCCAAACTTGGTTCCATGGGTGACTCTGGGTCATCTCTCTGTGGTAGCTTATCTTAAAATTTTAAGTGTCTATATGCTTATCGCAGGGACACGGGTGGCACTGTGGGTTAAACCACAGAGCCTAAGACATGCCGATCAGAAGGTCGGCGGTTCGAATCCCCATGACAGGGTGAGCTCCTGTTGCTAAGTCCCTTCTCCTGCCAACCTAGCAGTTCAAAAGCATGTCAAAGTGCAAGTAGATAAACAGGTACCACTCCGGTGGGAAGGTAAATGGCATTTCCGTGTGCTGCTCTGGTTCACCAAAAGCGGTTTAGTCATGCTGGCCACATGACCCGGAAGCTGCACGCCGGCTCCCTCGGTCAGTAAAGCAAGATGAGCGCTGCAACCCCAGAGTTGGTCACGACTGGACCTAATGGTCAGGGTTCCCTTTACCTTTTACCTTATGCTTATTGCATTTCTAAATTTTAAATTTATTGTTGTACATTGTTTTAAATGTTTGCTTTCCTTCTGGGATTGTACCCCCAAGTGTGTTTTAGAAGCTGGTCTCCGACCATAATAAATTTATGTATCTATCTATCTATCTATCTATCTATCTATCTACCCAGTGGTCTACTGATCTGTTAAACATAAAATCAGATCATCCATCCACCCAGGTTTTTAGAAGCAGAACAGAAAGTCACACTATAAAGTCACACTTGCCTTTTCAGACCTACCCCAACAGAGCTGAAAGACAAGGTGTAAATTAATTAGTAAAGTGGTCCTCTTCATTTCCCTCATTATTGAATGCAGCCTGTTTTTAAATACATATCATCTTACAAGTATTCATTCCCTGTAATGTGCCTATGAAAGAGCAACACTCCTCACTGAGGCTGTTTAGATATTACAGGTTGCCAGAAGCCTCTGACTTCCTAGAGCTACTTGTGCGAGATATCAAGGGCTTGATGCTTCTTGACAGCAAGGCTGGGGCTGAACAGAACTGCGTCCTGCAGGCAAGATGGATTCTTCCACTTCTCAGAGCTAAGAATCACATAGAATCATAGAACTGTAGAGCTGGAAGGGACCCCCAGAGTAATCTCTTCCAGCTCCCTCACAATGCATGGATTTCAGCTAAGGCAGCCTGGGAGTCATTCTGGACTCACAGCTGTCCATGGAGGCGCAGGTCAATTCTGTGTCCAGGGCAGCTGTCTACCAGCTCCATCTGGTACGCAGGCTGAGACCCTATCTGCCTGCAGACTGTCTAGCCAGAGTGGTGCATGCTCTGGTTATCTCCCGCTTGGACAACTGCAATGCACTCTACATGGGGCTACCTTTGAAGGTGACCCGGAAACTACAACTAATCCAGAATGCGGCAGCTAGACTGGTGACTGGGGGCAGCCGCCAAGACCACATAACACCACTCTTGAAAGACCTACACTGGCTCCCAGTACGTTTCCGAGCATAATTCAAAGTGTTGGTGCTGACCTTTAAAGCCCTAAACGGCCTCGGTCAAGTATACCTGAAGGAGCATCTCCACTCCCATCGTTTCGCCCGGACACTGAGGTCCAGCTCCGAGGGCCTTCTGGCGGTTCCCTCGCTGCAAGAAGCCAAGTTACAGGGAACCAGGCAGAGGGCCTTCTCAGTAGTGGCACCCACCCTGTGGAACGCCCTCCCACCAGATGTCAAAGAGAAAAACAACTACCAGACTTTTAGAAGACTTCTGAAGGCAGCCCTGTTTAGGGAAGCTTTAAATGTTTAATAGGTTATTGTATTTTAGTGTTCTGTTGGAAGCCGCCCAGAGTGGCTGGGGAAACCCAGCCAGATGGGTGGGGTATAAATAAAAAATTATTATTATTATTATTATTATTATTATTATTATTATTACAGATGGCCACAATAAAGATGGCCACAAATGGAAGTGAGGCAAATAGCTCAAAGCTTACAACACATTTACGATTTCAGGATTGCTTTCACAACAGGGTAGAGGGACCCTTTGTGATACAAAACGAATTAGAATGTTATTATTGCAGTCACGGACCAGTTCCAGGTCACTTACAATATCAGGAAAATCATAAAGCACAACAGGGATACATTGAATTGCAGCTGGGTTTAACAGAGACAATTCAGATATAGCGGCACTTTAAAAAGTATATTAAATCTTGAACACTAAAATATAACCTAAAATTATCATTTAAAAGCTTAATCATTTTGGTAGTACAGCTTGTTCCCTAAGTTTTATGGCAGTCGCACAGAATTTGGCCACCATGATACAAAACTTGCATAGTTGCATATTTGGTAGAACTGGGGTCGACGTGCTTGTCCTCAACCGTTTCAGACCCAGGACTTGCTTTCATGCATTTAGGAACTCATTCCTTAATTATTTTATCATGCATTTTTACGGTGGTGCTCTGCTGTTGCGACCCACCTTGGATCAGGCCGTGGCCTGGTAGTGAATCCCAATCCATCAGCCAGAAGTCCACTGCCAACAGAGCAGAGGAACTATAAAGGTAAAGGTAAAGGGACCCCTGACCATTAGGTCCAGTAGTGACCGACTCTGGGGTTGTGGCGCTCATCTCGCTTTATTGGCCAAGGGAGCCAGCGTACAGCTTCCGGGTCATGTGGCCAGCATGGCTAAGCCGCTTCTGGCTAACCAGAGCAGCACACGGAAATGCCGTTTACCTTCCCTCTGGAGTGGTACCTATTGATCTACTTGCACTTTGATGTGCTTTCGAGCTGCTAGGTTGGCAGGAGCAGGGACCGAGCAACGTGAGCTCACCCCGTCGTGGGGATTCGAACTGCCGACCTTCTGATCGGCAAGTCCTAGGCTCTGTGGTTTAACCCACAGCGCCACCAGCGTCCACATTTTGTATGCATCACATCTATGAGCCACACTGGGAGGGAGCTGGTCACCAGCCACACAATTTCGTTTCCCCCATAATAACCCCAGTCCTAAGCATGCAGCCAGCCCTATGACAGAGGCTGCTGCCTGGACTCAGCCTTTAGTCCTTTTCACATGTTATTATCTCAGGTGGATGATAACAAGTGGCCTACCCAAAAGGACTGTCGTACAAACTGAATTTTTGGTCTTTAATGCTATCGTTTAACTTTATTCTTTGCTCCTCCTTCTGATTTATCGGGGGGGCGTTGTTAGGTGATCTGAATCATTTAGCGTTTTGCTGCTTTTTTTCCTTTCATCGTTGATTTTGTTGGTTTCTAAATGCTGCCTTGGGTGGTTTTTTAACTAGAAAAGTGGCTTATAAATATTTTAAATAAGTAAGTAAGTAAATAATTAAATGCAGTCCGCATCTTCAATGATCCTCACATTCGTCTCTCGTTACCCTTGCACCCTCCTTCCCAGTTTTTCCTTTGCTGTCGCTCCAGCTGTCAAAATTTTGACTGTAGGCAGCTTGAGGCAGGGATTTTTTTGCTACTGTGTAAACCACCATTTTATTAAGCTATCCCAGTTTTGTCCCCCATTTCCCCAAGGAACTTGGGGCAGCATGCAAGGTCCAATCCAGCCCCACACTCCATTCCATCCTCACAACACCCCTGGGTGCTCAGTAAGCTTCATGACTAAGCAGGATATACACTGAGGTCTCCATCCATCACATCACACTGATCTGGTGCCTTGTCTTGTAAACCAAACCACTAAAACTGCTTTGAGCACCAGTGCAAAGGGATCCCTGATGCTGAGACCCTATAACCCAAGCCCTGAAAGACCTATACTGGCTCCCAGTATATTTCTGAGCACAATTCAAAGTGTTGGTGCTGACCTTTAAAGCCCTAAATGGCCTTGGCTCAGTATACCTGAAGGAGAGCCTCCACCCAACTTGTTCAGCCCAGACACTGAGGTCCAGCTCTGAGGGCCTTCTGGAGGTTTCCTCCCTTCAAGAAGTGAGGTTACAGGGAACCAGGCAGAGGGCCTTCTCGGTAGTGGCACCAGCCCTCCCAGCAGATGTCAAGGAAATGAACAACTATCTGACTTTTAGAAGACATCTGAAGGCAGCCCTGTTTAGGGAAGTTTTTAATATTTGATGTTTTGTCATGCTTTTAATATTCTGTTGGGAGCTGCCCAGAGTGGCTGGGGAAACCCAGCCAGATGGGCAGGGTATAAATAATAAATAAATCATCATCATCATCATCATCATCATCATCATCTCTCCCGGCTTACCTTTTTTCTTGTTGTACTCATCTTCAGTTTCATGGCAAGAATCCGAGTGATAATCCCTAAGTTCTTGCTCATACATCTCAGCAAAATTCTCATCATCCTTTTTCTTCTTCTTCTTGTCTTTGTCCTTGGACTTCTTCCCTTTTTTCTTTTTCTTTTTCTTCTTCTTCTTTTTCCCACCATAGTCGTCGTCGTCTTCCTCGCTGTCACTCCACTCTTTCTTCTTCTTTTTCTTCTTCTTCTTCTCACTCCTCTCGTCCTCCTCATCCTCTGTCAAGCCCCTTCCTCTCTCCTGTTCCTCCTCATCTTCCTCATCTTCCTCCACCCCCTCATCTTCCTCATCTGATGATCTGCTCATCCTCTCCCCCCAGTTATCACCTACACTTTGCCTTCTCTTTCCTCATCCCTCCACAACAGCCTTTCCTCTCAGGGCTCTTTGGACTTCCCTCGAGCCTTCTTCCCTTGATTCTCTCCTCTGTATCCCTCCTTGCTCTTCTGCCTCTTGAAAGACGTTAGTTTCCTCTAAGCTTCCCCGAATCTGCAGCTCCCTCGATGCCTGCGCTGTGGACTTCCTCCCCTGCTTGCAATCGATAATCCCATCAGACGGTCGCTTCTTTGACTGCCTTTAACTTTATCCCTCCTGTCTTCCACCTGTTTGGCCAAAAGGCCTCTTCTGCTCACATCTTTCGTTTCCTTCTCTCCTTTTCGGTTCCATTACTTATTCATTGGCCTGATCAGAGTTGCTTCCTCCACCTCCGTCGTCTTCGGCATCTTTTTTTAAAGAAGAGCTTTCCTCTCCTGAGATCAGATCTTGCCATGAGTCTACCATGTCACACCTAGCCAATGAAAGCCAGAATCCCTTCAAATGTAGGTCAGGAAGGGAGCCTGTGATGAAATTCTCCCGTGGCCTGAGCCCAGAGAGAGATTTATGCAGTGGGGCAAGTTTACGCCACTCTCCTCACAGCCCCACTTTGAGCTTCAGAAGACTTGGCTACGTTTGGCATGGGAGAGGGGGGAGATTACCTGGAGCTCCTTCGGTCAGCTGACCCCAAGACAGACAGACAGGTGAAAAGAGAGAGAGAGAGAGCTACTTTATCTGGCTGGTTTGCAGTTCCTTCTCCATTATTCATGGGTCTCAGGATTGCTTTACAGCTGGGGACCTCAAACTTTGTGGCAGAGAAACTCCCGAAGTCGACGGGTGAAGTGCCATGGGTTAGGAGGAGAGCAAATACGTTGCCTGCGTGAGCTCCCAGGTTTGCTCCCTGAAATCTCTCAGTAAAAGGTAAAGGTAAAGGGACCCCTGACCATTAGGTCCAGTCGTGGCCAACTCTGGGGTTGCGGCGCTCATCTCGCTTTATTGGCCGAGGGAGCCAGCATATAGTTTCTGGGTCATGTGGCCAGCATGACTAAGTCGCTTCTGGCGAACCAGAGCAGCGCACGGAAATGCCGTTTACCTTCCCGCCGGAGTGGTACCTGTTTATCTACTTGCACTTTGACATGCTTTCGAACTGCTAGGTTGGCAGGAGCAGGGACCGAGCAACGGGAGCTCACCCCTCGCGGGGATTCGAACCGTCGACCTTCTGATCGGCAAGTCCTAGGCTCTGTGGTTTAACCCACAGCGCCACCCGTGTCCCTGTGGGTCTCTCAGTAGTGCCACCGTTAAGCCGCCTTGAGATCAATATTTGTCGTTGAGAAAACAGAATGTGCATATTGAATCAAATCAAAGAAGTGTTTGCACTTAAACTGCTAGTATGAAGTAGGAGCCCTATCAAAGAAAGGCTTTTGTTGTTGTTTAGTCATGTCCGACTCTTGGTGACCCCATGGACCAGAGCACGCCAGGCACTCCTGTCTTCCACTGCCTCCCGCAGTTTGGTCAAACTCTGTATCTAAACTCTGTCTCTGGGATGCTCAGAGATGGAAAGAAGACAAAGTTTTCCCAACCAGAGAAGAATGGCAAACCAAACTGATGGACTATGCCGAAATGGCAAAGCTAGTTGACTGGAAAGCTCAGGAATCAAAAGGACAAAAGTTCTACAAAAGAATGGGAGAAATTTATAAGTTGCTTAAGAGACCACTGTAAGCAGATGGAAACATTGGCGGGATTTTGACTTCACTTGTAGTGTAACAATTACTATGGGTTTATACAATAGTTAGGGTTTGAAGAAAATGCAGTCTTGAACGTTTTAAATTGGACTCCAGGGAGGGGACGGGGGGAAGTCCTGAGATTCGGAGAAATCTCTGCATATGGATGTGTATTTGATTTTTTTTCTTTATGATTTTGCATTGTAAAATCAAATAAAAATGATTTTCAAAACGAACAAAAAAGTATTTAAACTCTGATAATTTTTTCCTCTGTGTTTATTACTTATTGCACTTCTAAACTGTGCTTCTTTCAAGCGACTCCCAGGGCAGATGACAAACAAACTCAAAAGCCTCACTATCACCTCATTCACTTGCCAGAGCAAGGAGAACCCATCAGTTACTCAGGTGCGCCAGCAAATGGCATCATCATTCCTGCTCTCTGCGCCCTGCTGTGTTCCTTTACATTCTCCCTCCACTACACCACTGCTAAAACCATTCCTGGGCCACATCACTTAGAACTGTAGAATTGTAGGGTTGGAAATAAACCCCAAGGGTCATCTAGTCCAACCCCCCACAATGCAGGAATCCCAACTTGTGGTCCCCCATCCCATTTGAAACCATACTGAACCCTGCTTAGCTTTGCAAATATGCTAGCAGTTCCATCGCTGCACCACTAGGAGGATTGCGGAGGAGAAGGTGATCAGGAAAGCCCCACCTCCGGTGGGGAAGAAGTAAAAGGACCTGAGGATGCTGCAGGGATGCTGGGAGTAACGAGACTTTTATGTTGGGGAGGTCCAGAAAACAACCACTCCCGGATTCTGCTAGCGATTGAGGCAGACATGAACTTGTGGCTCTGCAATGTAAATAGTCTGCACCCAAAATAAAGCCTGTAAAAGACAGGTCTGAGTCCTGCCTGGTTACTCACGAGCAACCACCACTGCCATCTGACAGAAGGGATTTGGGACCCAAAGGGGCAGGGGATTCTCATCCTGGATTTTTTTAATGATCAGTGGTGTAGCATGGGTTGCAGACGGGCACACGCAGTGGGGAGCAGGGCGTAGAGGCTGAGCAGAACCTGCCGCACCAGCCCAGCCCTCGCCACTGGTACCGGCAGAGCGAACCCCCTCCACTGTGGCCAAGAAGGGCTGGACTGTACTGCTTGCTTGTCAGCACAGAGGGAAGCCCAGCCAGTCGACGTGGCCCTTGGCGGGTGAATCCCCCTGGCGCCCGCAGAAAGGAGTGCTAGGCTACGCCATGCTGGGCATCACCACTTGCTCACCTCCCTTCATCCACACCTGCTCACCGTCTGGGGAGCACGCTCAGCACAGAGTGAGCAAGCGCTGGCTGGGCGGCCATTCAGCCGGGGGCCAGGGATGTGGCAGCAAGGCCAGGCCAGGTTCTGAGGCCCAGAGACCCCTGGCAGCAGGCAGGTAAGGTTGGGAAGCTGTGGACAGGGCCCGACAGGATGCTCCAGGGCGACACAGGTTTCCTCCTGAAGCCAACGCCTGTGTAGGGGCGCCTGGTTCGCAACCCCTCAAAATTGTGCTACAGCAGCCTTAAACACCACACACACACACACACACACACACACACACACACACATGCTATGGCCCTGTTTTTGATGCCTCTCTTCAAAGACTCCTTTCAAAGGTCTCTGTCATGGAAAAACAATTCTCTTTCAAAAAAGAAAAGATCAGCCGTTATTTCTCACAAGCGCAACCTTATTTACCCATGGCACACCTAGATCCTATCATCATCAGTAAATTGCTCTGAATTTCAACGCCTTTTTAAAGCCTTCTTTTTACGTGCGATCTGGCGAGAATAACAGCGAGCAAATATGCCGATGAAAAGCCAGTGTCCACAATCAAGCGTTTGAGTTTTCCCACCCGGGGCAATTAAATCAAAGATCAGAGTTCTTCCATCAAAGCCATTGTCCCTGCCGACATACCTGCCGTAATTAATTTAAAAGTAATACACTGAAGAACGCCGCAATGCCTTTTATTCTTTCGTTCTTTCTTTGAATAGCAGAACAGGGAAAGCCGTGCAACAGAAGGTCACCGATGCATAAAGAATGATCAGGCAAGAGCAACCAAGTTAGCAGCGAGACCATCTGCTTAAAACCGTGGCTCCTATCATCATTGGCTTTCCATAGGAAGCTCTCAAGCCATGTTCTGAGCTCCCAGGCATCATACAAAATGACAGAATAGCAGAATCATAACCCTAGTTGACATTGGATACTCTGTGGGGGGCACTGTGTGCTGGGTCCTGCCCTCAAAATCATGTGGCTTTCTTCACACCATAGAAAATTTTACAGCTCTACGCAAGGAGTATCTCAGACACTCCGAGTGCCTCTATTTTCCAGGGACAGTCCCAGATTTACAGAAGCTATCCTGGTTTCTGATTTGATCCCAGAATGTCCCAATTTTATGATACAGTATGATAATCTTCATAGCCATTGTCCCATACAGAACAACAAAATTGAAAAAATCTACATGATACGTTCAAAAACCAACAAGCCTGCTATGCCAACTATCCCAGCCTGGTTAGCCCCTAGAAACTCTGATACCCCATAATTGAATACAATATACTCACATAGAGACTACCTTACAGTGCGTTTAAAACCAAAATCACATTTGGGTAGAAACTCTTTCTCAGGCGGCTAGTCCTAGTCTTTATAACCCTGTACCTTCTTCCAGAAGGCAGAAGCTGAAAGAGACACCCCTATTTTTATCAGAGAAATGTTGGAGGGTATGGAGTTATGCAACCCTCAAGCCAAGGAGATAACTATGCAACCTTTAGAAGACATCTCAAGGCAGCCCTGTACAGGGATTATTTTTTTTAATGTTTAATGTTTTAGTCTGTTTTTATATACATTGGAAGTCGCCCAGAGTGGCTGGGTATAAATAATAAAATGATGGTGATGGTGAAACAGGACGTCCCTATTTTCATTGCAGAAACTGCAAGTTAGTTTCTGGGTCCAATTCCAAGTTCTGGTTTTGACCTATAAACAGTGGTGGAGCATACGCCCGCGCTGCCCAGGACCGGCACGTTCCCGAGGGGAACGAAGGGTGCCCTCCCAGGTGCGGGATAGCCGCGCACACACCCACCAATCCCACTTCCTTCCTCTCCCCTTCCCGCTCGCCTGCCTCCTTCCCATCCTCTCCCCTGCCTGCCTGTCTCCTCCAGCCAAGAGCATGGGGCAACGGCGCTCCACCCGCCTGTGACTGCGCCGCACTCCCAGTTGCGTGGTGAGTTCCCGCTCCCCCCCCCCATGGA